TCCCTCTATAAAATTATCTACGATCACTTTCACAGCTGTAAGCCTACCCCAGTATGAAGACAATTCGCTGTCTTCTGTTTCTTCACTTTCAGCAGGTGGGTTAAAAAGGAGAAGATTGAATTTCTCGTGTTGTAAAATTTGTTGAATGCCTTTTTGCTAATGGAATAGGTTATTTTATCTAATAAAAATATCTAGTCTTTATAGTAGTGAAAGGTGGGGATTTATGTATGTTTATGGGTATATATTGGAGATTACCCCCAAATATGTGATATTTACTCTGTGTGGTCCTGGGTTAATTGAATAATTGTCATCCTACTGCAACTGATGTTTGTGCATTAAACCTTGTTAAGTGTTGGTGTCACAGAACTTTATGATTTTATTTATGGGGTGTTTATGAAAAGATAATATTTGGTAACTCAAAGCCCAGGGAAGTAGCTTCTATTTTCAAGTAAACAGATGGGAAAGGACTTCATTGTGGGAGTCATTTACAGCCTTATTTTGTATTTTAACAAGTCATAAAACTTCCTTTATATCCCTTAAACATAATGCTTACAAAATTTTAATGTTCTACACATTTGATTATTTCCATACTTGATAGAGGTCATAAACACCTTTGCAATAAAACGATTGTGTGAATTTTTTGAATTCAGAAAACTGTGCATAATTTTTGCAAAATGATATTTGAGATTTTCTTCAAAATTCCAAGCAGTCCACACAAATTAGGACTGTTGCAAGAATAAAATGGTACAGTGAATGTATATGAAATCCCCCATCATAAATCGTTACAATTTACATTCGGTGACACTTTTGACACTGAGCAGTAATATATCATATTGTATTTTTGCTGTCGCCTGGTTTGTCCACCAAGAGTTTTGGGATTCCATCAATGTCATATTAGAACTGGATGCTACTGTCTGCACTTTTGAATGCTTACTGTTGTCATGTGGTATAGAGGAATTAAAAGTATTGAATATTTTTATATTCCCAGAATTCTTTTCAGGTTACTCAATATTTAATTTTTTTTAGCTCACCTGAGCCGAAGGCTCAAGTGAGCTATTCTGATCACATTGTGTCCGTCGTCCGTCCGTCCGTCTGTCCGTCTGTCCGTCTGTCTGTCTGTCCGTCTGTAAACTTTTCACATTTTCGACTTCTTCTCAAGAACCACTGGGCCAATTTTGACCAAACTTGGTACAAAGCATCCTTGGGTGAAGGGGAATTTAAATTGTTAAAATGAAGGGACATATCACCTCGCACAAAAAAGACAAAAATAGGGTGGGGTCATTAAAAAATCTTCTTCTCAAGAACCACTGGGCCAGTAAAGCTGAAACTTATGTGGAAGCATCCTGGTATAATGTAGATTCTAAATTGTTCAAATCATGACCCCCGGGGGAAGGGCGGGGCCACAATGGGGAATCAAAGTTTTATATAGAAATATATAGGAAAAATCTTTGAAAATCTTCTTCTCAAGAACCACTGGGCCAGAAAAGCTGAAACTTATGTGGAAGCATCCTGGTATAGTGTAGATTCTACAAATAATGACCCCCGGGGGAAGGGCGGGGCCACAATGGGGAATCAAAGTTTTAATATAGAAATATATAGGAAAAATCTTTGAAAATCTTCTTCTCAAGAACCACTGGGCCAGAAAAGCTGAAACTTATGTGGAAGCATCCTGGTAAAATTTAAATTCTAAATTGTTCACATCATGACCCCCGGGGGAAGGGCGGGGCCACAATGGGGAATCAAAGTTTTATATAGAAATATATAGGAAAAATCTTTGAAAATCTTCTTCTCAAGAACCACTGGGCCAGAAAAGCTGAAACTTATGTGGAAGCATCCTGGTATAATGTAGATTCTAAATTGTTCACATTTGACCCCCGGGGGAAGGGCGGGGCCACAATGGGGAATCAAAGTTTTACATAGAAATATATAGGAAAAATCTTTGAAAATCTTCTTCTCAAGAACCACTGGGCCAGAAAAGCTGAAACTTATGTGGAAACATCATATGTAGATTCTAAATTGTTCACATCATGACCCCCGGGGGAAGGGCGGGGCCACAATGGGGAATCAAAGTTTTACATAGAAATATATAGGAAAAATCTTTGAAAATCTTCTTCTCATGAACCACTGGGCCAGAAAAGCTGAAACTTATGTGGAAGCATCCTGGTATAATGTAGATTCTAAATTATTCACATCATGACCCCCGGGGGAAGGGCGGGGCCACAATGGGGAATCAAAGTTTAATATAGAAATATATAGGAAAAATCTTTGAAAATCTTCTTCTCAAGAACCACTGGGCCAGAAAAGCTGAAACTTATGTGGAAGCATCCTGGTTAATGTAGATTCTAAATTGTTCAAATAATGACCCCCGGGGGAAGGGCGGGGCCACAATATATATATAGAAATATATAGGAAAAATCTTTGAAAATCTTCTTCTCAAGAACCATTGGGCCAGAAAAGCTTTATGTGGAAAATTCTAAATTGTTCAAATAATGACCCCCGGGGGAAGGGCGGGGCCACAATGGGGAATCAAAGTTTTATATAGAAATATATAGGAAAAATCTTTGAAAATCTTTTTCTCAAGAACCATTGGGGTAGAAAAAGTGAAGCTTATGTGGAAGCATTCTGGGGTAGTGTTAATTCTAAATTATAGGAATCATGACCCCCGGGGGAAGGGCGGGGCCATTATAGGGAATCAAAGTTTTACATAGAAATATATAGGAAAAATCTTTGAAAATCTTCTTCTCAGGAACCACTTTTTGCCCAAAGGATTTTTTTTTGTCTAAATTATGATCAGTGGGGTAGGGTTGCTTTATGTATTACAAGGGGGAAATCTGGTAAAGAACAGAATGGTCAAAGCTTCTCAGGTGAGCGATGTGGCCCATGGGCCTCTTGTTTAAATTAAGGTGTTGTGAAAGATAGGATTAGTTTGGTGTAAGGTTTTACAAGAGGGTGTGTCTGGTGATCCCAGTGTAAGGAACTACTGAACATGTGGCCTGTTATTCACTTCTAAACATATCATTTTCTTTTCTCTTGCTTGGAAATCTATTGAGGAGGAATTTTACACCCTTCTTGGGACTGAGTAGTTGGTGGCTTGGAGGTGTTAAATGTAGAAAATCTAGCTTTATCAGTTCAGAATCGTGCTGAAATTACCAGAGCTGCTAATAGTTAGAATCATTTTCGAATGTGTCTATTGTCTCGGCCCATTTGATATGCCTTTCCAGGTCAGGGGTTTAGGGATGGGATTAACGTCAGGATGGGGAGGGCTGATAGTGAGCCCATTGAGAGAGGGGACAGATAGCTCTTGTGAGGTACAATCCAGTTTTTAGTGGATGGTTTATGGTGTACTTTTGTTAGAACTGTCACATTACAAATGGTATCATTTCAGAACTCTTAGACTGGATGAAACCCTAGGCTAGTCCTGGGGATTAACTTCATTAGAAATGTGTGAAATATTTAAATGTTTTCCTGTAAATAAAAGATTTGAATTAGACTTGTTTACAGAAAACTACCTTTGCATAATAATACTTCATCTAAAATTAAGATTTTAGATTTAAAGTTTATTGACTGAAGTTAGAGAAAACAAGCCTATTATTGAGTTGAAGGCATTAAAAATTTTTATTATTAATTTTAAAGTTGCAAAAATTAGAGGAAAGCCAAGGACAAAGCATAAAAGCTGAATTCTCTACCGAAATTATAGAAGAAGTTGATATATGTATTCATATGATAAACTCAAAGTCTGAATTGCATAAAAAGTAATCGATGCAGTAAAAGAGTAGACTGTATTATGTTCCTGTGTTGTTTGAAGACCCTGAAATGATTGATATTGCAGGGGTCATAAGTTAGCCTTGATGGGTGAAGCCTTTCAAGCAAAATTATGCAACAAAGCATGATATCTATCAAATACTGTAGATATTGTCATCCTCTGGTCAGAATAAGTAGTTTCCTGGCAATGGGTGAAAACCTAAAGCCTCCCTGATTCATACGGAGTTAGAGACTTCAAAGCAATCTCCATGAATTATTATGGTTGATCTATTGCAAGGATATGATTCATTTGAAAGCTAGATGAAGATGTTAAGTAATGAGAGAAGTAAATCATATTCAGATTATATATGTTTTTAGGGTTAAAGGTTTATTATTAATTAAGGTTTAATTACATACAGAAATGTGTTTTGCAAGCAAAATTTCTTATGATTTTTTGTGTCCTATTGGCATATAACCATTAATTTTATGAGTAAGCTGAATATGCTTATTCCCTGTCCTGCATTCAAAAAATTATTATCAAGGTCTTCTTAAAAGAATATTTGCTTGCCCTCTTCCTACTAAGCATTAAACATTCTTGTACAGAATTTTATGGCATAACAATGTACAATGCAATTATAAAAATAAAATACTCGTTGAAATTATGAGAAAATTCTGAATGATTAAAAAATCATTTCCTAGAGGTTTTTTAAAAAAGTTTTGAGTCTGGCCATTGTTAGGCAGTCTTTTGGTAGCGAGCAAATTAACAGCATCATGGCAAACCACAACCAAAATGTATGATCCTCTCCCATTCTGGCCATGGTGGAATGAGAAGAGAATTTTTCTTATCTCTGAAATTTAAATATTTACCAATGTGAGTAAGCATAGCTGTCACAAAAAAGCCTTAAAATTAAGTGACAAGTTCAGGACCAAAATTTACAGCCCTCTACCGGGAAGTGATGGCTTCTCATTATGAGTGAAATATTCTCGAAGGGACATTAAACACATACACAAAAATCATTTTAATATTAACTAACAATGTTAAATCTTGTGTTTGTCGTATATTTCCAGGACAGTGCAGTCAGACATTGTGTCTAAATGGAGGTCGCTGTGTGAAACACCCAGAACTGGGGGGCTCAAGATGTCAGTATGGTAAGTCCGGGACGTAACAAATGCAAACACCCAGAACTGTAGGTGTCCCGCGGGATTCCAGGGCTCAAGATGTCAGTACGGTAAGTCCGGGACGTAACAAATGTAAACACCCAGAACTGTAGGTGTCCCGCGGGATTCCAGGGCTCAAGATGTCAGTACGGTAAGTCCGGGTAACAAATGTAAACACCCAGAACTGTAGGTGTCCCGCGGGAATTCAAATCATAATAAAGAGTTGTCATTTGCAATGTAGTACATGCAATAATTGCTGGTGCTTGGTGATTAATTCAAAGATTGTTATGTACTTGAGCAATGAATTTAGAGACGGTGGGGGGGGGATTTTTTTTATTAAAATAAAATATAATGATATTTTAAGGGGCTGAGGTTTCATTGTATTAAAAAATTTATCCATGTACATAGATAGTTGTTTCAGGTTAAAATTCATTTTTAAGAAGACCAAATCCACATAAATTGAACCCCATGAAATTTTAAAATTCCATGAAATAAGAAAATGAAATGACCATGCGCTTCAGACAATCTACCTCAGAGTCTGCATGGTTTCTATTCATTGGTGAATTCAAAAGGGAATTATGGATTTACTGTGATCAATTAAGAGAATTACTTCTGCTGTTGTACAGTTTTCGAGTTGCATCACATAGTTTTGAAGTGAAGTTGTTTCTTTTATGCGAAGAAATAAAAAAAAAACACTTTCAAATGATGAAACTGAAATTTTTTTTATTTTGGTTGGTCAAATTCAATATAATATCGATGAAAAAATTTGAATGTAAGTGAATTCATTTTGATTCTGATGATGAAAGTATCAATCTTAAGAGGTTCGCATAAAAAAAATATACACTGCTTACTCTCAAGTGACAATGTCATGGAGTTGAGCGTCAGCTTGGCAGCATTCTGCTGACATCATTCTGTAGACAACAGGTGCCAATCAGCTGATGTCTGTCTAAGATCCTGTTATACTGTACAACACAATAGTTATTCAAATCATCATAGTTTTTGTTTGTCTGTATCGTAATATGTAAATCAGCTTGTGAAGTAAACAGTTTGAGGTTTCTGTTTATTTTTGTAGAATTTAATGTGCTGCATTGTATTAAATTCTTAAGAGGTGCATTTGCAATACATTTTAACAAAGTCATGCAATGAATTTACAATGCTCTTCAAATGGCTTCTTTAAATTTCTTAAGTTGGTATGAATGTGACAGCTAGGAGTGACAATAATTTGTTTATAGATGGAGACAATCATATGTATGGATGGTCTGTAAGAACATTAAGGCTTATGATTGCCTGTAGTAATTAACATTTTAAGTATTAGCTTAGCTTAAATGTCTTGAATTCCTTTATGTTCAATGCCGTGTGGCAAATGACTGTCTACAAGAAAACAGACACTGATAGAAATGTGCTGTAGATGAACAGAAATTGATCAGAAAAGAGGATTATGAATTTGATCATCTTTTGTGAAAATTAAACAAAAGGGAAAATTCGTGTTATGTCTCGAATTCGGCTTGATAAATATCTTTGAAGATAAAGTCTCTGAGAATGTTCGTTCATTTAAACAGACAATGATTTAACACAATAGACAGTTAAAATGATCTTGTCACATGTGGAAGAGAATCCTTGCATTTCCTATCCTTTCAACCTTACAGCAATGTTAAACATGGGTTCAGTTAGTTTAATTAAGTAACCTTAATTTTTAATTTATGTCTCCTAACTCATTTAATGTCAATGCAAGACAATTTCCTGACCCCCTCTCCCCCTCCCCCAGTCTTTTAGTGCCTACAGTGTGGTAATATGTCCAGTATTTTTTCATAAACTAGAAATCTGTTTAAATGATAAAATAAAAAAAGTATTGTCGAAATTATTTCTATGCAAAAAAAGGTAAGCTCAGGTCAAGCCATGTCAAACTGTGACCATAGTTACTGGTTCAAAGGGACACTAAGGTTATACATCAAAAAAATGGTCAATATGCATTAGATCTTTCTTTGAGGGTTTCTGATTTACTGCATACACTGACATTTATTTTTTTGTTTTTACACCTACATTCTAATTTTACTGTACTTGACCAGTCATAAGGGGTCATCAATAGACCATCAAAGAAAATTCCATGTTTATAATATGGGTTGTTTGTTGGCATGATTTTTATTTTTTGACAAATATATATTATTCTTTAAATTTTGATACATGTCCCTGATAAGAGTTGAATTCACTCCATTTATGGTTTACGTGATAATTTTCATGAAATGCATGCATAAAAAAAATGCAGTTATATAATATACATGATCTTCAATTTATTGTCTAAGCCATTTATTTTTATTTTTTACACTAAAAAACAATATATATTTTTAAAGTGCATGGGTGTATCTAAACAGTTCAGTATAATAAGAAATTATTTGTAAAAAAGAGGTCTTATTAAGGTTTTTTGTGGCCAGTATTATGGGTTGTTTCATTGGATTTTGGGATTGCAATTCCACTTGGAATTCTTGTACTGTAGATGGAGTATTGATACCTTTTATGGAATTTCTTCAATTTATTTTGTTAGGTAATTGCACAGAAACTGTGTTGGAGCTATTTATCACTGACAGGCATATTGATTGGGGGATGAGGTTGTTGGTTGATGGTTTTTAAGGTCGTAGGAGCCCAGCTTTATCTGTGCAGACACAGGTCTATGGCAGAAACCATTTCCACCCGAGCTGGGAGAGATAAATTCCACACTAGATCATATTCCTATCCTTGATGAATACACACTGGTCATTTAAAGTATAATTGATAAAGATCAGCCACCCCTGTATTAGTCTGATACCAATTTATTATATTACTGCCAAATTAGAGGGGATTTATTTGAATGTCAGAAATAATATACATACTACATAGAGAAGGGGATATTTTCGTTGCAGTATTTATAAAAAAGGGTCAAGTGTTTTGACAGGTTCTTGCCAATCTTTTATTTTTTTCAATTCATTGTGAAGGTGATGGATAAAAGTAGCAGGCAGTATATTGCACTGTAACAGGGTCCTTGCCCCACCCTCACCAGCTGATGTGTTCAGGTGACAGCCTTAAGGTGACCCATCCATCAGGTAGTGCCAAAAATACAAACAAACTGTCCAGGTGTTTTGTTGACAATTACACACTAATTAATTAAGGCTCAGTTAGGTTAGTTAGGCAGGTCTCGCTGCGGATGACACCAATATTTAACATTTTAAAGGAGAAAACATATATTAAACATTACAGGAATGCTTAGCTTTTTCAAGATATACAGCTGGTGTCCTATGATATATTTTTTCATTCTTTCCACATTCCAGATATCTTAAAAAACTGGTTCTATGTTTTGCAGTTCTATGGGTGCCAGACTTGAATTCACTGTGCCTCAAATCAAATATGTTGTATGTACATCGGTTATATCTAATGTTATATTACACAGTATTACATATAGACATGTAAACATGATTAATCCTGCTCTTCAACATAGGAACCAAACATACCCTGGACAGAACTTTTATTGTAGCCCAGAACTAATGCTTTGAGGTAGTGAGGTATTGACTCTAGCATTTTGCTTTGAATGATAAAATTGTGTTTGAAGAATGTTCTATTTATGATCATAGATGCATTACATTAGAAATTCTCTATAGTGTTTTGATTTTATTAAAATACAGCATTAGTTATAAATAAAAATAAAACCATCATTGTTCTATTGCTTTATTGACTTTTATATTTTATTTTATTGACCAAGAAATCTATGAACTTTAAAGAGTATATATAATGGTCAGTGTTTGGTAATTAAACATCTAATTAATATATACCTTCAGGAAAAAGATTTCGATGTGTCAATAAATTGTCCATAAATAGAAACAAAATCAATAAGACTAATGAACGACTGAAAATCAATAGAAGTAGGTGGGTAAATATCTGTTTTTAACTGACACATACCTAAAAAAGATTGATTTAAAGAACAAGATGTGCTTATGAAACACTGATGCCCCTCTGTGACAGCTCATGGTCAAGGTTAAAGTTTCTCAAATGCAAGCCAAAATCCCAGGTCAGGATCAAGAGATGAAAAAAATGTACCAAAAGAAAAGGTTTATTACAAGGAAAACACATATGGATTGAAAAAATTCTGAGCAACAAAGATTCAAAAATTATAACAAAGTCAGTTAAAGTGTAAACTTTTATCAAAAGTCAAGGTCAAGGGGTCAAAGTTAATGGCATCCAAAGGAAAGTTCTTAATCATAATTAATGAATACATGTTAAAAGTTATAGTGTCAAGATCAAAGTTTTTTTCAAAGTAGGTCAGTTAATCTCTAAGGTCAAAGACAAGATCAGTGGAGCCCATGCAAGGAATATGGTCTTGACATAAGGGATACTTAAAACAGAAATGAAATTTCTTCCAAACATTAAAAAAATGACAAAGGTTTTTCAGAAGTAGGTCATCCTCCAAGGTCAAGTGATGAAAAAAATTATAGGTGACCAAAGGAGAGTTGAATTACAATATGGTAAGTTTAACTATGACAATTTACAAGCAATATTTGTGTGAGTGAACTAAAATTTATATTAACAAATTCATTAAAGTACTGGTATGTTTAGGATGTTTGTAAAGCTGTGTAGTCTCTTATGTGGAAAGTGACACTATACGTACATAAGAAAATCCTACCTGTTACAAGATCATGTACTTTGAAATATGTTGGGGACAAAATATGAATGGTATTGCTCATAAGTCTGCATATATTTATTCCAAACAATTGCTTCAATAATAATTTAATACCTCTGTTTTGTGTCTTCATATTAGGAAATCATTGTAAATAAAGCAGTATAATCTTAGACAAAAAATGCACAGTTTTTCTTCCAATAAATCATTCAAAATGGCTGTTTTTACCTCAATAGTTGCAGCAAAAAGATTGAGCTTGATTCAGTTTGGGTTGACTTGATAAATCTGGTAGGTTTCTCACAAATGGCATTTCAAGGGATGCTTTAGAGAACTCTAGACAAATGTTGGAGGGACTAAGAATACACTAATCTATTTCAGACTAAGGAGGCAATCTTAGGCAATTATGTGCCATTATATTCCAAAGCTTCCAAATCAAGTTTTTGCAACATATTGGCAGTTTCCCTGGATTTGGCTGTCAATTTAGCCGTGATGTATATAGAGGTGTAATCGGGGGTTAAAGAAAGCCGATGCACATGCATGATTAACATCCAATGATCAGCTCGGGGGTTTAAGTATAAGGCGCGAGGAATATCAAAAGGCTGTAATTATGACTGCTTAGGCTAGAAAGACCTGTTGAGTTTCCAGAGAGCAATTTATCTCTCCTTACTTTGTCACAAGATTGACCATTCCATCTCAGATTAATCTCGTTTCCTGTAATTCTCTTGTATTCTTCCAGTCCTCAATAGGCAATAGGGTGACAGTGTAGTAGGCTGATTTTAAGTGTTGAATCACATTCTCTCTATGTTATTTGATTGGTTCAGTATTGGTTGATCATTTTTATGTTGCTTTTGTGAACTGTTGATTGGAATTCAAATAGATTTGAAAAAATAGTATTGACAATTCTAGAAGGGTTTTGTGCTAGAAATGGCACATTAAACTGCATATGATCAGAAAGACAAATTTTTATTTGAGACCTCGATGACCTCAACAATTCTCTTTCACAGTGGCTGCTGATACATATAAAGGTCCTAATATTTTAGACACTCAGCGAGTTTTTCCTCAATTAAAAGAAAATTAAAGCTAAAAGAAAGTATTGTTCATTTATGGAATGCTTGAGCATTGAATGTATAAATTTAAACTGAAAAGCATCACAGTACTGTAACAATGATATTACATTTTAATAATTTTTGAGTGCTCTTGGATGGAGCATTTTCAGAGAATTCTATTTCTATGCTTTTCAACTGAAGCTAAGAGCTCTATTGTAGAACAAAGCTGTAGGTCTTTAAAATTTGTGTCACCCCTCCTACTATTGTATTTATAACATCGCATTCTTTTGTTTACAGATATAGATGAATGTACCCGGGGAACCAGTGGTTGTGACCATGATTGTATGAACACAGTGGGCTCTTATAGATGTAAATGTAGACAAGGCTACAGGCTCGGCAAAGATGGTAGAAGTTGTGAAGGTAAATGATGAAGTTAATCTTCCTATACACTATAGGCATTCACTAAAAAATGTCTGAAAATGAAAGATTCAGGAAAAGAGGAGAATTTAGGAGTTGATTTTTAAGCAAGTGGCTTTGACTGGCTTTTTCTAGTCAATATTAGTTTTATAAAGAACATAGTTTTCTCAGTTGTCGATCATTGATCACAGAGATGAAAAAATTTTCTGGGGTTTTCAAGGTCATGCAAATTACAGACTTCACAGTTTTTAAAACAAATTGAATATTTATCTGAGAGGGTGGAGTAGGTTTTTGTAACAATTTTATGATCAATAAACAAAGTAAACTAAAATGATGCTACCAGGGGTGCATAAAATTCACAAATTTGTCCCTTGTAAAGTTTTCATCTTGAAGATACAGATTGAAAGGTGAAATTTGAGCCTAGTCGATAACACAAATTTTGTTTAAGATATTTACTTTTGAATTAGGTCCTGTTGATTCTATTAATGTCATTGAATTAAGAAAACATTAATACCCCGAATCTCTCCCCAGCTAGAATTACTTTCTTTTGAATTCGAAAAAATAAAGTAATTTGCTTTGTGACAGAAATGAACATTGAATTCAATGTCTGTTTGTGAATCCTTTTCAGATATCAATGAATGTGACAATAATAAAGGGGGGTGTCAACACGACTGTCGTAATACCCAGGGAGGATTTCAGTGTCTGTGTCCAGCAGGGTACCGTCTCCGCGCCGACGGACGAAGCTGTGAGGGTAAGACCTCGGGTCCAGATTTCTGACTTGTGTATGCATTCTGTTTATATAGAACGGCTTCAATAATAACTACTAAATTGAACTCAACAATTGCAATGTTAAGTGGAATTAAGGTTTTCATGTTAAGACTTACCTTTTTCATTTCAACAAATTTTACTAGCTAGGTTTTATTAAACTTAAAAGTTATTTTCACATAACAAAGAAAGAGGATCAGAGCAAAAGCTTTATGTAGTTTGTAAGAACTCGATCTTTTATAATACCAAAAGTGGAAACCATAGAAGAAGAATGTATTTATGTGCTGTGAGTTGAGGGATTAGGTAATAGATGTATAATCTGTGTATTGGGTCCTGTGACCCCCCATTAATCACCCCATCACTCTCTTGTCTCCACATCACCACCGTCTCTCGATGCTCATTGCAAACACACAAGGCAACAGCCATTTATGATAATACCCTCCATTTAGTATTGCAAGATTATGTTCGATATGAATAGATGGAGAAAATCTCATCAATTAAAGTTTGAAAAACCCTTTATTCTCAACATAAAGAAAATTGATATAGAGGATGGAAAGTTTGGATTTGGTCCATGCTGATACGGACTCCCACAGGAACATGGGATAACATGAAAGCACTTAGACTAACTAGATTTTAGAGGCTCAGCAAAATTCTTTTTTGTGGACTGTGTGTGCAATATGGTCTAACAAAGAAGTTTCCATGAAGATACTGTCTGATAGAGTTACAGTGTAGTGCTGAGAAACACAAAAGTAGAAGTAATGTTAGGACCATGTCCTGGTGTATTGGGTGTACAGGAGGGGGCACCTGCTATAAGCTAACTCTGTTCACAGCCATTGTGCCTGGCACATAGTTGGACTATCTTTTATCTACAAACTGCTTAGATTGCATCGATAGGGTATTCTTACAAAGAAAACTTTACATACCTCTTTGTCACTGATATATTAAATGTTCATGTGTCATGAGCAAGTATTTAAGTAATTAAGGCTTTAACACCTTGAACAGATGTTAAATAAATTGTTTTTATCCTCAATATTTTAAGAATTTTTCTGAATGTTTACTTAAGGTTTTCCTTTAATATGATTTTTCTTTTAATTGTATTAAAATCGATTTATGTCATTGATACAGATGCAAGACTCTTCTTGAATTTAATTTAGAGTCCAATGTAGAAAATCAAGGTTAAGTGGAGAAGGATTTAAAAGTGCATTTCAAACAAATTTAATTGTTAAATTTTTTCTTTAAGTCAATTAAAATGTGTTACTTCACAGGAGATTTTTAATTTACACTATATAAAAAGCAAACACAGCCCAGGCATTTTTCCACGAGGTCATTAAAAGTAATTGGAGATTTTCTCTAGCATGAAAATGAAGCAGACTTTAATACCAATATGTGATTAATCCTAAGGTCTACTAATTTGATTGAGGAATTTTAATGATTTTTCTTTCATATTGCCTTTACAAGCTGCTGGGAACTTGCGTAAGATTGAAAATAAAATAGGAACAAATAATGAGTTAGTTGCACAATTTGATAAAAATGGAGATACCAGTAGAAAATTAAAACAAGGAGTGGAAAATGGAAACCAGAGAAATGAGATTTCAGAGAAACTTCTGAATAAAAAATTGGCAGCCATTGCTCAGAAGACGGATGAATTTACAGAATTGGCTTCTGTTTTGAAAAAGAGGCGACTTCTGAATTATCAGGGTATCTCATTGTCTGTTGTAGTAGACTAAATATACTTTCATTTCAAAACCTGCAAAAAAAGCATTAAAATTCTGTAAACTTTTTGTGCAGATTTTTTTTTGGTTTTCAGTGTTTTATTTTTTAATTACTTAGGTTAGATAAACATTATAGCTTCATTTAGATTGTAGGATTTTTAAGATTATTTCAATTACAGTTTTCTTTCGGAATCATTAAGTTTTCTTCCACGATGTTTCTTTGCATATATAATGTGTTCATTATGGGACTTTTTTTTAGATTTTGTTTTCAATGTCAAGTGAAGTGTATGCACTTGAGCCATCATATAATACATGCATTCATCATAAAATTACATGGCAGAAAAATTTGTTTTAAATTAGAAACTCATTATGTTACATATATTTTTATCTCTCCATCTGTTAGTTGTAGACATTTTCAATTCTTAGGTATTACTCATTTCATTGCTTTCTTGAAAGGGTTTTATGATTCAGCTAAATTTATTTATGTCTTGATTTTAATTTTTTTCTCATCAGAGATTTGCATGAAGACAGCATGTAAAAGTGTACAGTGTTTATGAATCATAATAATGCTCATTGTCCTATATCTCTCATATCCTCTTGTATAAGCCTTATGGACGCTTCGAGTAGAAATAAAAAAAATTCTATGGGTGCTTGTATCTTAATCTTCAAAGGTTGTAACACGATCTGCTACTTCATAATAGACAATACACAAAAATTCAATTACCACTAGCATCAATACATACGTTTTGTTGAAGAATAACTTGTTAGCACTATTATCATGAGAGCCCAGAGGAATTCTATGATAGATTGATGGTGGTGTCAAAAAACACAGATGCTAAAACAAAAATAAAAATTTGAATCAAGGCTCCTGACATTCTAGATAAAAATAATTAAAAACAAAGGAGAAAAACTGTGCTAACTTTCATCTCTCGCTTATTTCATTATCAGCTGTTTTACAGATAGACAGTCGAGGCATGTGTCAATAAAATTGGCAGTCACTTAGAAACATGCAAGCTTGCAATATCATTTTGGTTTGTGTAAAGTTACACAAAAGATGAAACAAATTTAACTAAGCATGAAGACTTCTGAGTCTTTTTTAAAATTGCATTCTTCTATTTATTTACTACACGTATTTAAGATTCAGAAAGAGCTCTGAAGAAAATACAAATTTTTAAGGTTTCAGTTTCTTTATATATATAAATATAACAAAGGTTCAGCATTTTGGTTATTTCAAACAAATGTCACTATATATCATTACCGTAGTATTCTGTATAGAATTTTTTTTTATTTATTAGGGTATTACTTTTGCCATACTCTGAAAATTCTTCATGTACCGGTATCTAAAAATATGTTTACTGTTTTAGTGGAGTCGGCCTGCAGCGTAAATAACGGGGACTGTGAACATCTCTGTATCGAGGGCTCGGCAGCAGGACATTACAGATGTAGCTGTAGAGAGGGCTACAGGCTCAAACAAGATGGACGCACCTGTCAACGTATGTATTTAAAGTTATGAATTCCAAAAAACTGCTGACAGGGTTTTCCAAGCTACAGAGTTCCATAGTAACCAAGCAAACATTAATGGATACTGTAGATTCCTAAATATACCTGAGGAATTTTTTACCACATAATTTTGCGAGAAGCATCACTAGCAAAATAAAATTACACACTTTTATTTTTATGGTGCTAAATTCCATGTTAATTTTCTTGATCAACTATCATTTTGCTAATTATAATTCTCACCTTGTGAGGTTGAAGGGCCATGTTGCAATTATAAGTACTCATGAAAAATAAGGAATATACATTAGTACATCTAGGGATGCATACAACCATACTTGTTCCAGAGACTGGATCTGACCAGTAATTTTAGATCTCACTGCATGACTATGCAGGTTAAATTTTTTACAGCAAATAAATCCCTAATCACTACATTCTATGATGATCAAACTTAGTCATAAAGCATTTGTTGATTTTTGGATTCTGCATCTGACGTACATATTCAGGATGGTTAAAAATTTTGCAGCAGGTCCATTCAAAAGAAACTACAGTAAAACTCATTTAGTACGAACAAGGATATTGCAAATTCATAGATTTAGCGAAGTTATTTTGGATCCCCAGCTAAATAAATTTAACAAATTCCTTATACGGATATAACGAATTACGGATATAGCGAAGTAATTTTAAAAGGTCACAGTGACTTCTTTATAACCAAGTTTTATTGTACATGTATAAGTCTTAGCCACTTGCACGTCAATGATTCACATAAATGCCAGCTATATGTTTAGTACGACTCTTTGCTTTTGCCTCACTTTGTCAATTTAAGGTAAGCTTTATAATTCCCCTTGGGTCTGTTTTTCAGTGGCTGACCCCTGCAGGAACAGAAATGGAGACTGTGAACACAAGTGTATTAACAGGAATGGTAGCAGGGTGTGTGAGTGTTTTATGGGTTACAAGTTATCAGCTGATCAGCGGCAATGTGAGGGTAAGAAAAAAGCAAGATAGCTTTAAGAGTACTCAATCAAATCCTGATTGTCCTGATAGAACTGCAAAATTTTATTTCTTGATTAAATTATGAAGGCCTTAGGTAGATAAATCAAAACTTTTTCGGTTTAGATGCTTTTAGGTCATTATTGGAATGTTTTATGGATTAATTAAAGAGCATAATAACATAATATTCTTTTTCAGACATCAATGAATGCCTGAACAACAATGGTGGCTGTAGCCAGGACTGCGTCAACACGATGGGATCCTACACGTGTCGCTGTCACCCGGGATTCCAGCTCGGGGTCAACAGGAAGTCCTGCTACAGTCAGTATCAATTCAGTGTAGCAAAAAGTCATTGTATATGCAATGTTGGGAAATACAGCATTTTGTATATTGAAATGCTGCAAATTGACTTTATTTGAAAAATAAAATGTTAATGTAGGTATTGAAAATTTTTGACAAACTTTTTTTACAGCAAACCCAGAAAACAGTTTTGCTTAATAAAATCAGAGAGCAGCAACTAAAACATATGCTGTAGCTTTTTACATCTGATTTTGTTTGTTGAATACATACTTGTAGTTTATGCTAATGTTTTTGATAAGATACTCCAGGGTTTGACTTTAGAGATCATATATGATGCCCACTGTAATAATTTTTATACATGCGTTATTTATCTGTGTATTTTTTCTTTGTCTTCTTTTTGCTGCTTGGATTTATTGAAATTCAACAGCCTCATGTGTATATGGTATGTTATTGTCCTGTGTTAACTTTCTTATATTTAATGTATTAGTGATACATGTATATCTTGCAATTTTTAGCTCACCTGAGCCGAAGGCTCAAGTGAGCTTTTCTGATCACATTTTGTCCGGCGTCCGTCTGTCCGTCTGTCTGTCCAGCTGTCCATCTGTCCGTCTGTCTGTAAACTTTTCACATTTTCGACTTCTTCTCAAGAACCACTGGGCCAATTTCAACCAAACTTGGCACAAAGCATCTTTGGGTGAAGGGGATTCAAGTTTGTTCAAATGAAGGGCCACGCCCTTTTCCAAGGGGAGATAATCATGAATTTGTTAAAAATTAATGGCATTTTTAAAAAATCTTCTTCTCCAGAACCGCTGGGCCAGGAAAGATGAAACTCATGTGGAATCATCCTCAGGTAGTGCAGATTCAAGTTTGTTCAAATCATGACCCCCGGGGCAAGGGTGGGGCCAAAATGGCCGACCCTAGTTTTACATAGGAATATATAGGAAAAATTTTTTAAAAAATCTTCTCCAGAACCACTGGACCAGGAAAGACGAAACTCATGTGGAATCATTCTCAGGTAGTGTAGATTCAAGTTTGTTCAAATCATGACCCCCGGGGCAAGGGTGGGGCCAAAATGGCCGACCCTAGTTTTACATAGGAATATATAGGAAAAATCTTTAAAAATCTTCTTCTCCAGAACCACTGGGCCAGGAAAGATGAAACTCAGGTGGAATCATCCTGAGGTAGTGTAAATTCAAATTTGTTCAAATTATGACCCCCGGGGCTAGGGTGGGGCCAAAATGGCCGACCCTAGTTTTACATAGGAATGTATAGGAAAAATCTTTAAAAATCTTCTTCTCCAGAACCACTGGACCAGGAAAGATGAAACTCATGTGGAATCATCCTCAGGTAGTGTAGATTCAAGTTTGTTCAAATCATGACCCCCGGGGCAAGGGTGGGGCCAAAATGGCCGACCCTAGTTTTACATAGGAATATATAGGAAAAATCTTTAAAAAATCTTCTTCTCCAGAACCACTGGGCCAGGAAAGATGAAACTCATGTCGAATCATCCTCAGGTAGTGTAGATTCAAGTTTGTTCAAATCATGACCCCCGGGGCAAAGTTGGGGCCAAAATGGCCGACCCAAGTTTTACATAGGAATATATAGGAAAAATCTTTAAAAATCTTCTTCTCCAGAACCTCTGGGCCATGAAAGATGAAACTCATGTGGAATCATCCTGAGGTAGTGTAGATTCAAATTTGTTCAAATCATGACCCCCGGGGCAAGGGTGGGGCCAAAATGGCTGACCCAAGTTTTACATAGGAATATATAAGAAAAATCTTTAAAAATCTTCTTCTCCAGAACCACTGGGCCAGGAAAGATGAAACTCATGTGGAATCATCCTCAGGTAGTGTAGATTCATGTTTGTTCAAATCATGACCCCCGGGTCAAGGATGGGGCCAAAATGGCCAACCCAAGTTACAGCAAACCCAGAAAACAGTACATAGGAATATATAGGAAAAATCTAAAAATCTTCTTCTCCAGAACCACTGATTAGGAAAGATGAAACTCATGTGGAATCATCCTCAGGTAGTGCAGATTCAAGTTTGTTCAAATCATGACCCCCGGGGCTAGGGTGGGGCCAACCCAAGTTTTACATAAGGATATACAGGGAAACCTTTTAAAATCTTCTTTTCAAGTACTTCAAAGCTTAATATGATTAGTGATATTTATATGGAATCATCCTCAGGTAGTGTAGATTCTAGTTTGTTCAAATGATGACCGCCTGGAGGGGGGGAGGGGAGTAAATTCAAGCCCGATGTGCTCAGGTGAGCGCTGTGGCCCCTGGGCCTCTTGTTTCTACCTAAAGTAAAGTTCATTGTCTATATTGATACGGAACTTTTATAGGAGTTTTTTTACATCTCTCTATTCTTATTCATTAATGCTTACAATACAGAGGTTAGAAAAACTCTGTCAGGGACAGTTCCAGTACAAGGTATTTAACACAGAATCTGATTATTATAAATTTATAATTAAGGTGGTCAAAGAGAGAAAGATTTCCATTCATGGCTAGTAATGGTAGTTGTCTCCCTTTCACTTTTAAACACATCATCTATTTGTATGTTTGAATACTTGTTGAGCTGTACATATATTCACTGGATTGCTGGTTTTTGTAGGGGTGGAGCTGGAACCAGTAGACAGTTGTGCCATTAACAATGGAGGGTGTGCTCATAATTGTCGTCATGAGAACGGGGGGCCAGTCTGTACCTGTAGGAAAGGATACACTCTACAGATTGATAGGAAGTCCTGTCTAGGTAAGTACACTCACTCATATTGAGTAATAACAAGATGGACTTTGCAATAACACCCCCCCCCCCCCCTTTAAAAAAAATGGGGAAATTGTCTATTTCAGTAAATGTAGAATCTTTGAAAAGGCAAAGGCAAAAGTTTTATTGTCCATATTTGAATAGTGAGATATATTTGAACTGAAGTATTTCAAATATCTCCAATACCATGGATACGTCTGAGCGAGGAAGTCCCAACCACTTTTTCCTTACAAACTTTACTCTCAATGTCTCATTAAGTCCGTGATAACAGGATTGGACTGTAAACGATAGAGATATTACTCAGTCTTGCTCCCATTTCAGATGTAGATGAGTGTGAGTCTGATGAGGCCTGCTGTGCTCACCAGTGTTCTAACAACCCAGGCGGCTACTCCTGTATCTGTAGGCGGGGATTTGTTCTGAACCAGGATGGCTGCTCCTGTGATGGTGAGTACTGTTCAGTAATTCTTCAACTTGTGTGGTCTTTGTAAGTTTTAATCTTTTGTGTCTTTGTAAAGTTTACCCTTCTGTGTTTCTAAAGACTACAAGGTCAAGGGAGAAATTACATTAGTCACTTACACAAGTATAAACTTATAAGGAATAAATTTGATAGCTAATCCGAATTATTCTTGGATAACTGTTGCAAATATAAAGCATAAACTTTTCAAACCCAGATTATAAAGTATAATGGGGGTAGTTATGAAAATTGTTCTTTAAAGTCGTCATATATCTATCTTCAGTTGTTAAATAGAAAGAAAATGTTCTACTTTGTGTTGATTAATATGGGAATGTTTCTACTGTGTGTAAAGTAGATCTTTGACAAAAGTAAACCTTTTAGAAGAGCTCTGTCAGTGATCCAGATATGTAATGAATTTAAGGGGGCTGCAGGTTAAAGATTTTTTAAGAACACTTCAAGTTTATCCTACATTCATATGAAAATTAATTTTTGACTTGTCATTTTTATCATGGATAAGGAAGTCTGTGTATTGTTAAACTGTTTTACAGATGTGAATGAGTGCCTGTCAGACAATGGGGGCTGTGAACATGAGTGTGTGAACTCGGAGGGCTCCTACAGCTGTGTATGTAAGCCCGGATACAGACTCGCCCCTAACAACAGGGGCTGTATCTGTGAGTAAACCCATCTAATATCCCAAACCTGTAGTCTGCTCAGTTGTGACAATTTTTTTTCTAAGTTAAAAGTTAATGGATCTAGTTATTGAAAAAATACATTTATATTCAAGCTGGATGCTAAAAATGGAAGTTTTTAGACAAAGTATTAATGCACAGTTTACTTCCTTCATGTATTTGTATAGCCTTCATTCTTACCATGCATGCAGTGTCATTTGTTACATTGATTTTTAAAATTATTTTATATTTTAAAAATTTTTTTATTTTCATTTGACAGATTAGGTTATTATTCAGTACAACTTTTCGTCTCTTTTTACTGCTTGAGTTATTTATTTGTAGCCTACATTTAGTAACCAGTGTTGATTTGAGTTTGATTTGGTTCTGTAGTGATAGACACGGGTCCCCAGCGGGGGGATATCCCATCTTCTCTTCAGTATAAGGCCTCAATACGGCCCCTCCCTCTGGTAGAAAACCTCAAACTTCAAGATGAACTGATCGATTCTGATGTTAAATATGGTAATTCTCCACTAATTAAGTTATCCATTTACTGATGTGTTAAAAATATTTTTTTTTATTTTGAACATGCAGCAAGTAATGGAACGTATCAAGGTTGGTTATATAATCTTATTACTTACAAATGAAAGAATACGAAAGAGGATTGGTATTACTAAGATGATTTACAAAATCTGTAGATAATGAAAAACATTTTGATCAGAAAGATGGAAAATATAGAACATAAAGTTGCATGTGGTTTGTATTTGAAATGCAGAATTTACAGCATGGATGAAATATAAGCTTCCTTGTAGAATGTGTGCCGGGAAACTTTGGACCAGACTGTAAGTGGACTTGTGACAGTTGTCAGAACGGAGCCACCTGCAACAGAGAAAATCCTGGCTGTGTTTGCTCTCCTGGGTGGGGTGGATTTCTCTGTAATCAAACTTGTCCACAAGTAAGCAGATTCTTTCATTTGCAATGCTTTTTAACTTATAATAATTCAGTGCTCAGTGTGCCATCCACTGTCCAACCTTAACTTTATGCATGAAAAAATTGTGGCAGCTTTCTGTAAGGTCAAGGTGAAGATGACATTTAGAGGTCATGTCAAATATTGGGAGAATGTGTTTACTTATGTTTTAGCCTTATAAATTTATTATAATCATGATAATATTCATTGAATTAGTTATACATCTGAACATTCTGAAATATTTCGATGGAAAAAAAAATCAGTAAGTTCCTGTGTTTTAGGGTTTCTATGGCAGTGGTTGTAACCAGATTTGTAGCTGTCAGAATGGAGGGACGTGTGATCATGTGACTGGTAAGTGCACATGTCCTCCAGGGGTCCACGGCGAGGACTGTTCTGATGGGTGTCCCTCAGGGTTCTTTGGTAAAAACTGTGACAGGCCCTGCTCCAAGCCATGTTATAGTGGGCACTGTGACAGGTAAGAATATTGGTCAGGCATTATTTTACTGTTGATTGATATTTTTTTTCTTTTGATTGATTTTGATCTCTCTACCACAAAATATGTGTGTATCAAAGAATGCTATCCATTATAGGCTGAGAGCACTAGGCTTACATGAACATTTTACTTACTGTATTTTGACAGGGAGTTTGGATATTGTATGTGTCCGCCCGGGTTTTTTGGATCCTACTGTGATACAAAATGTCCCATGTTTAACTGGGGAACAAACTGTATGAATCAATGTCATTGTAACAGGACCACTACAGAATTCTGTGATACAGTGGTAAGTAAAGGAAAAAGCTTTTGTTTTGTGAGAATTTGTCCAAAAGAAGAGTCATTGTAGTTGTTCTTAGCTTACCAAAGACAATGGTTAAATTGAGCTTTTTCTGATCCAAGAGTGTCTGTTCTTAAGCTACATTCTATAAACTTTTCGCATCAGAATCACTCAACCAACTTCAACCAAACTTGCCACAAAATGTTCATGGATGTAGGGAATTTAAGCTTGTTTCAAAGGAGAGGGAATGTGTCCATTTTCAATGGGGAATGACTAAAAAAATATGTGGGACATTTCAAAATCTTGAGAACCTTGACACAGAAAAGACAAAAAAATAGTAGTGAAGCTTCCCAAATTGTGTTTAGATTAAAATTTTTTCACATTATGAACTGAATTATGCTTGGATGACTGAGGTTTATGTCAAAAGGGTCAATGCATGCTAGGGTTCCTTCTCTTTAGCAGACTTCAGTAAGTTTTAAGAGGAACCAAAACAAATGCAAATTCGTCCATATAAGTGGACCTCAAGTGGACTCGAAGCTAACCTGTGGGTTTCTGATGGGGTCTGCTCTAGTTTTATGTAGAACTACATGCATGTATACATGTATATTTAAAATGCATTTATCATAGTGTGATTCATTTTGTTTCAGAATGGCAAGTGCTCTTGTAAGGAGGGTTTCTATGGAGAGCAATGTCAATTTCGATGTTTAGCAGGGCATTATGGGAAAAATTGTAAGCGGTTGTGTAACTGTAACAACAATCAGTCATGTGACCCTGAGACTGGGAGGTGCTACCTCAGATGTGACCAAGGAAGGATGGGAGACAGCTGTGATCAAGGTAACAGAGAGAGAGAGGGGGGAGGGAGAGGGAGAGGGGGGGGGGCTTTGGTCAAGTTCTCCTTTTTCCTCACTTTTTTTCAATGATATGTTTATTTCATATTTGTGAATTTTCTTTTATGTATTTGTTTTAATCATGTGTCTTGTGTATTTCTTGGTGTCTCTGTCTTGCGATTTTGTTGAAGTATTTTTTATTTTTTTTTGCTGTATTTATTTTTTGTTGAGTTGTTGATTTTATTTTAGTTTGTCCCAATGGAACTTATGGTTTTAACTGTGAACAGAAATGTAATTGTCACGATAGTTTATGTCATCCCGAGACGGGGAAATGTATCTGTAAAGCAGGCACTCGAGGAAGACAATGTAATAAACGTAAGTCAACCAACAGGTTTTTCAAGGAATTCAAAATAGTATAAGCAGGTCTAGCATGAATGGATTGTTTCTATAACATCGCTTTTTCAACATAATTATTTTGAAATATACTTTATTTCTACAGTAGAACACGGTTATAACAAAGTCACTGGGACCACTGAAATTACTTCGCTATATCCGTAATTCGTTCTATCCGTATAAGAAATTCATTAAATTTATATAGCTGGGGATCCAAGATAACTTCGTTATATCCTTGAATTCGCAATATCCGTGTTAGTACTAAACGAGTTTTGCTGTACTCGTTTGTCTCTATTGAATGAAAATGATATATATGAATCAATATCATATTTTTTTAGTTCAAAAAAGAAAAAGGACAGCAAATGTAAACATTACTGAGTATTTTATAAACAGTACTGGTCAAAGGCACAGTAAAATTATATAAATCAAGAGCATACATGCCAACTTTCCCGATTTAGGCGGGATTCTCCCGATTTTACCCTTTCATCCCGCCTTCCCGATCGGGAGAGAAAAATTGACCTAATTTCCCGATTTGTAAAAATTCACCCAAAATTTCCGATTTTACAAGTTTCCCTATACCGCTGAATTTTGTCAATTGGGAAAACAATATCAGACTTGTTTATTGAATGCACACAGATAAGTTTCATTGTTTATTTAGGTGTTAACATGGTTAATTAGCCACAGGAAATCACTTCACGCTTGAACGCACGGAGTCGTCCAGGTGCAGGTAGCTTATAGCAGGGGGCAATTAATTAGGGGATTATCTTTTCAGTTTTAAGGGGTATGCAAGGTGAAACACATAGATTAAGGGGATAATTGTTTGTCATTTTATTGAAAACATAAATTAAAGACAACTAAATAATAACCAAACCATAAAATCGGAATCCAAGGAGATCGTTATTTGAAAACGAAAGTAGAAAACTACAAAGCATAGCTGCTGACTTTATCTACCTATAATGAAAAAATATTGTAAAGTTTGCCAGTTAAAATAATATGAAAATGTAACAGGGTTATGGAATCGTAATAACGAAAACACCTGTCAGGGTTCGACACACTGTTTATTAATGGTTGTAGATATAAATATATTCACTATTGTCCTGAAATAAATAATAACAATATTGAGTAAAATCATAAAATCATTAATGCACAATTCAATATTATACACAATGCTGCATAAAGGGAGGTAACTCTTACATTCATTACACATCTTGACATATAATATAATACTCCCTTAGAATTTACACTTTGTGCATATAATTAAAATACTTTACAACAAAATATATATTACTATTAAAGCTATAATATCTTCATAGACATTATGTACCTTTTTCTTATAAACAATAAATCATAAAAACAATAGCATACCATTCTGAGGGAATAGGCAAACTCCCATATGGTTTATCACACCACTACAGTATATAGCTGGGAGTCCAGATGATAACTATAAATTATCATATACCTTACATAATTCTCTGATCATAAAAACATGTGTACATATTATCTGGATCATAAAATACCTTTAACTTTACTGCTAATAACTAAGTAAAAATCTGACTTCCAAAATCTCTCTTACTGTGCAAAAGTGCTATGGAAATTAATATTGCAGGAATTACAGATTTCACATTTAATGAACTATATATTAAAGATATGTTAAAGTTAGTAAATAAATATTAACTTACCAGAAGATGAAGAGAGTCTCAGTCAGAATGTCAGTTGGTCAAATTCTGTCACAACCAAATCAATGGAACCTCTCTATCAACATTCTGGACAAAGAATGACCAGAAAGACCAAGAACACTTTGGAGGGAATTTGACAAACCAATAAAACACAAGAACACAAAACTAAAATCCAATAGAAACAAATGACTTATAGGACTTATGGCCAGGACCTTAATTATAACCCTAAAGGCAAATAACAGGGTAGCACTGTCTGTTACACCTGAATGACCATACACTTATCTAATAAGCTGAAATAAAAATATATACAAACAGAATACAAAATAATTTGATATTTATTAATTAATTAGAAATTAATTAATAAATCATCACTCTTACATACTCCCCCTCCTTTTGAAATGACTTCCACGTCATTTAAAGGAGGCTTACCTCGATAACTGCTGAAAAATAATCTTTAAAATCAAAATATAGTACAAATTAAAATTTCTCTGTAATCATTTTCAAAAATACCTTCGACATCTCTTCGTCCATACCTTTCAATTCAGACGCCATTTCTTTAAAACATTCTGCCTTCTTTGTCCAATCTAAAACCTGTTGTTTGCAAATAAAATCACCCATCCAACCTGGTTTCTTCCGTATTCTACCTGATCTTCTGGGCATTTCTTCTTCATCGTCTTCGTCGTTATCATCTTCTTCAAGTTCAGGACTGTTTACACTTGTAGTATTCAGATCATCATCTGAATCATCAACTGCACTCTCATCATGTGCGTCATCAGCATCATCAGCTGCGCTCTCGTCATGAGCGTCATCAGCATCATCAACTGCGCTGGACTCTGGATCATCAGATGCATCAATATTCTGACTGGAAGCGTCCTCCCCTGATCCACCCTCCAGGTGCTCCTCACCTTCCTGATCGTCACCAGTAACAGTGGGAACATTCTGACCTTGATCTACAGCGGATGCATGTTGCAATGGCACTGTGTGATTTACTGTGCTGAAACAATACTCACTGTCTAGGTCCTCTGTATCACTTTGATTCTGTGTTGTCTCTGTGTCTCTGTCTTGTCTATGCTTCCCTGGACGTTTACGCCTAGGTGCTGGAATAGGTGAAGCGAGCTTGGACCCAATAGGTAATAAGAGGTTTCTATGTAAAATCCTTGTCCGTCCTTGGTCATCTTCTCTCTTCACCTTAAAGACAGGAACTGAGTTGTTAGGTTGCCCTACAATTATATAAGGTTGATCTTCCCATCTGTCCTGAATCTTGTGTTTACCCTCAAATTTTACCTTGATCAAAACTCGATCTCCTTCTTTTAGAGTACTTCCTCTTACTTTGGTGTCATAATATAACTTTTGTCTTCCTTGTGAATTCTTGAGGGCAGTTTGGGCTTGTTGGTACGCATTTTGGAGATTCTTCTGCAGTTTCTGTATATAAGAAGAAGTTGATTTTGAAGGTTGATTTCTGTCAATTCCAAATATGAGATCTATGGGTAAAATGGGGTCTCTGCCGAACATAAGGAAATATGGCGAGTATCCTGTAGAGTCATGAATTGTTGAGTTGTAGGCCTGAACTAATGGATAGATGTATTTTTTCCAGTTGTGTTTTTGCTCTGGGTCTAAAGTTCCTAACATAGAGATGAGTGTTCGGTTAAACCTTTCAGTAATTCCGTTACCCATAGGATGATACGGTGTGGTCCTAGACTTAGAAATTCCAAATGTTTGACAAAGTTCCTTTATGATGTTGCTACAGAAGTTTGCTCCTTGGTCCGAATGTAGTTTCTGTGGTATTCCATAGTGGACGATAAATTCATTGTAGATGGCATCAGCGGTTGTCTTGGCTGTTTGGTTCCTAGTGGGTACAGCGATAGTAAACTTCATAAAATGGTCTGTCATCACTAGGATATTCTGTATGTTCCCTTTGGATGGTTCTAAGGTCATGTAATCCATACAGACTAACTCTAGTGGCTCTGTTGTTACAATGTTGACCAATGATGCCTTCTGATTATCAGGTGTCTTAAACTTGATGCATCTCCCACATTCGTCTATCCACTTGGAAATATCTGCATACATTCTCGGCCAGTAGAATCTTTCTCGAACCAATGATGTTGTCTTGTCCCTTCCAGGGTGGCCCATGTTGTTATGTAAATGTTGCAGTATCACTTCGCTGTATTTACATGGCACAACAAACTGCTTCTGAGTGGTACCCTCTCTCTGTGTTTCTCGTACAAGTATACCTTCTTCTAACTTCAGCTTCTTATAATTCTGGTGTAGAATTGCCTCTGCTTCACATCTTGCTGAGTTTCTTGGCGGTCTTTTCCCTTCTCTAACATAATCTATGACAGATGTAATGTATGGATCTTCCTTCTGGATCTGTCTCAGATCAATATGGTCGCCATTGTCATCTAGAACAGGAATCTGCAACTGCTTGCAAACAGCAGGTGAAACAGGGAGTGTCTGGATATAAGGCTGCTTTTCTCCTGTGTCTGTAATGGCTCGAACAGCTTCAGCATCAAGCGTCTCTGTCTGTGCTGGTAACCTAGACAAAATATCAGCATCTATGTTTGACTTACCTGGTTTATAGGTGATACTGAAGTTATAGGAGGATAATGCAGCTATCCATCTGTGTCCAGTGGCGTCTAACTTGGCTGTAGTCAGCACGTAAGTGAGGGGATTGTTGTCGGTAAATACAGAGAATTGGGTTCCAGTCAAGTAGTCCGAAAATTTCTCTGTAACTGCCCATTTAAGAGCAAGGAACTCCAGCTTATGAATGGGATAATTCCTCTCCGACTTTGTCAGACCCCTACTGGCATAGGCAATGACTCTCTTTGTTCCGTCTTGATCCTGATATAACACAGCTCCGAGTCCACTGAGGCTAGCATCTGTGTGAAGTTCGAAGGGTTTTCTAAAATCAGGATATCCTAGAACTGGGGCTGCTGTAAGACATTCCTTGAGTCTGTTGAATGCAGCATCTTGATCTGGTCCCCATTGCCAACTTGAAGGAAGTGCCTTTTTTCCTCTTGACTTCTTACCAGTGGCCATAATGTTGATTAAGGGACGCGCAATCTTAGAGAAGTCATGTATGAATTTCCTGTAGTATCCTGAAAATCCGAGAAATTGTCTAACCTCTTCAGGAGTCTTAGGTTTGGGCCAGTTTAGAACTTTACTTACCTTTTCTGGGTCGGCCTGCACCCCGTCCTCTGAAATGATATGTCCAATATACTTGACCCTTTTCATCATGAAATGACACTTCTTAGGAGACAGCTTCAGTCCGAACTTCCTAAACCTATCAAAAACAAGCCTGAGGCGGTC